CTTTTACCGTAACAACTTCTCTATTAAAAGAATGCCGAGAAAACCGGATCCACCGGTTATCAAAACGTTGCATCCCGCGAAGAATTCGGGGATTTCGCTTTGGCAGTCATTAGTGTCTGGAAGATCCGACATGTTCAACATATCTTCAAGGTAGTCTTTGTTTCGTCGCGTCATCTTACTGACGTTTCTAAGCACAGCGGGAAATATTTTTTAATTTATCTAATTTCTTCACTTGCAAATGAACAAATAAAAATTCACAATTTTCGATCACTGTTGCGATATTCGATCGCCGTTGCAGGTAAACCGGTTAATTACTCAACCTTTCTGTCAACTAGTTCTTTTTTTCACCGCGCAAGGAATGGTTCTCACAGAATTTTCCTCGTCAAAACGCGTAAAAACTGAGGAAAGTTAACAGGTTCTTTATAACTCGAGATACGGTTGGTGCTCGTGGTAAACGGGACCACAAATGTACCACGACTGAGATAAGAAAATGCGCGCAAGGATAAATGTTAGCAAGGAACACGTAGAAGGGGGACATTCTATTAACATTGAATATGGGTACGTATCTGACACAGGAGGAGGAGATAATTGTTTAAAAAAACGGCACCAAGAAAATTATACGCTGACTGTCGTATTTTAATGATTCCAATGACTAAACGAAGACACTTTATCTGTGCACACGTGTATACATGCATTATAGGTACATACATTTTACATTGGATCTTTTAACTGAGAAATTTATTCATATAATTAAAAGGGGTTTTTTACATTTTATATGAGATGCTTTCATTAATATCATTTAACTGTTCCGATGTATAATAAAATTTTCTCCAATAATTAACATATATAAAACGTACTTTAAAAAATAAAATTGCAAAAAGTTAAATAAATGCTGCATTATGGAATCTCAAGATCACTTAACATCTGACTCAAGACGATCTTAAATATCGTAATATGGATATTGCTTTTATGTTAGCCTCTACAGACGTGGAAAGTCGAACTTTCCGTGGAGGTGTTGTGAAATATAATGTTTTCCTACATAATTTATATGTTAGATTTTCCAACTTATACACATTAGCTTTAGATTACATATTTGTCCAACACTAAAAATAGAGTGCTTAATTTATCAGTTTAGCTTAGGTATCTCTTGATTATTTCTCTGCACTATAGACATAAAAAGTCACATAATATCCATGAAAACAGTGTTATACATATATATGCTCTCATAAATTAAGAAATTAGATAGGATGTATGGCTCAGCGCAAACAAGCTTACAACTTTGTATTTTGTCGTGCAAAATATTAATAATACCATGAAAACACCTTCTTGACGCTTTTTTAATCCTTTTTTTTCAAGTATTTCATCATATTTTACACATACAAAAAGTATTAGTAATAAATTAATTTTATATAAATTCTTTTTTTGATTAAAATATAATATATTTTGTTCTTTAAGTTAATGTTAGATTTAATGCATCCGCTTTAAAATGAGATCAAATGCAGCTTGCTGCGATTTTTCTGTGCAAAGGTATATAGACGATTATATATCGATCTGTAATCTTGATCTAGATCTAGAGATGAATATGGCCGGCTCGCTCCTTTAATCATGAAGCACGTGACTACCGATCAGCTAATCAGCTGGTCGAAGTAGTGTAGTAAGCACGTGCTACATGTATGCACGTACACATGCATGCCGCGTTCATTCATAAATTGTGCACGCACGCTGGATTTTCAAAACGTTATAACTCGAAAAAACGACATTTTGATCTATATTCTAGATAAATAAATGGATCTTCTACGTTTTTTGCATTTCAGAAAGGCATATGCTCGCTAGATATATTATGAAATGTATGTATGTAGTACAGTAAGGCAGGGAATAAAATACTGAATTATAAGGTAAAAAACTACTATAAACAAAAATATTAGAAATAAGTGCCTCAGAAAGTACATTAAAAATATAAAGGCTGTCAAGCTGTATATAGTGTATATATTTTTCTTAATCAAAAATAGCGTTGTATCTTAAAAATGCTAAATGTTAATAAATATTATTTAGCAGAAAAAGTGCTAGTAAATATTAATAAAGAAAGAGCATGATATTTAAGAAAATGAGTAAAATAAAAATAAATTTGATAATTATCTTAATATATTAAATATTTCGTAGCAGCGATAAACTTTTTATTTACTTATTTATTTTTTTTTTTAGACAATGTAAGCCCTATTTTTAACTAATTTTAATAAGTCCTTTCTATGATGATCTTGTCGTAGTGAGAATGTTTAATAATATTTTGAAGCTAAATATTGCATCTCGCAAGAATATATACGACGGCTAAATCAAAGATAAAATTAATTTCTTAATATGCAGAAATTAAAACTAATTTTTTATCACCTAGAAGAGAAACGAGATGTGAAACTTCTGATTTTTAACGCATGACGAATGCATCAATGATTGTCAATAATACAAGCTCGATTATTTATCTGAACCATAGTAAATAGATATTCTTCATATTTTTATGTAATCTAACGTTGTTAGTTGACATTGCTTGTAATCGATATAAATTGTCCGTAATTCATCCATGGCAGGTATATCGTACAGTGTTATCGTACTTAATGATATTTTATTATAACGTTAAACATACATTACTATTTTACGCGTTTTTATATATTAATATATTATTTCGAGAATACATTTCGCAAGTTTATTTATACTATAATATTATTACCTTCCAATCGTTATGCAGAGGAAATGGCGCACTCTAAAAGTAACTTGCTACTCTATCTGAATGATATTACAATGATAATACACAAAGCAATTTTAACAAATTATTTTTAAAATTGCTTCTTATGAGAAAATTTTATGAAAAACTATTGACGTTTATATTTCTTTAATTTAAAATTATTTATATTTCCGATAGTAATAATAATTAATTAATAATAATATGTAACAATGTAACTGATAATAACTAATTAATTACTTGATAATAATAATAATATTTAATTGTAGGGACAAACCAAAATATGTTTTAAAGACTATATGTTTTTAAGACAATAATATAAACGATTTAATTTAAAAAATATAATTTTAAAGACTTTCTTTATTCGAGTCGAATTAATGTGAGTCTATTATTAGATTCAGGCGATTTCTTTCGAGTTTGAGTTTCCGCGTAAACACGTGTAGCATACGTAACGAGCATACGTTCAAAGTACATAATATACATAGCATGATATTCAGCGTCTTCTTACATATTCAAAGCTTATATTTGTAGATAAAGTAATTTAATAAACAATTAAGTAAAACGCACTGAATTTGTTTCCTTTTCTCTGTTTATTTAAATACAATATGTATAACTATAAGATACTAAATATGTAGAACACAATATCAGTAACTATATAAACAAGAAAGAATTATGTAAAGTAGATCTATAGTATCTATATGATATGAAATATTACGTTGAAAAGTGATTATAGTTAAATAATATAACATTTTATATAAAATATTATCTTCTTCAACTTGTTAAAAATGCAGTTTATTCATATTGCGTATATCGCATAAAAACTTTTTGATTTATTAAGGAAATGTACGTGAGAAATTGATCCATTAAGGAAATATACTCTGCATTTTTTATGACAAAAACCACCACGAAAGACGTTGGTTAATGATTACTCACATATGATTGAATAGAAAAGAATTTCTGTTGAATTTCTGTCTAATTGATTCTTTTCTGTGAAAATGCAACGTATAAAGTTGATGTGGAAGACAATAAGGTGTAAACGATGTAAATATTTATTTTCACTATTATATATTTTTCTCTTAATATTATAATTTATTTTTACTAAATTACTTGTTACAAAATTCTACAAGATCAGAAGAATGACATTATACGAATTATTAAACTTATAAAGCCCCATACTAGTAAAATCGTGATAACTGTTAACAGGGTATAGTGAGCGATCTTCAATCTGAAAGAAAAAAAATCATCGTAAGTTTCATGAGGCGAAAAGCAATAGCGATGTGTACAAGAGCAATTACTCACTTTCTATATTTCTCTCGTCCTTTGTCTAAGGTACTCATCGGATCTTTAGTTATATATACGCGCATACCAAGTATCATGTGTCTGAGATATGAATCCCAAGTCAAGTTATCCATATCGAAATTGAAAATCTGTCGATCAGCCGGATTCATACGACTCCAGAGCTTTACAACAGCGTCGTTGCTGAATCGCCATTGTCTTGTCGTGAAGTGCGAAATTACAGAACTGAACTTGTCTATCTTCTTATATGTCTTTAATAGCCTGAAAAATTACACTTTATTAAATCCTGCGGGATTC